TGGATATCTACAATTATTTTTTTATTTTTATTTTTTTTGTGTTAACTTGTTTAAGTTGCTTATTTGTTGTAATATTTATATATTTGTTTAATTAATCTGTAAAATAAAATAATTAGGGATAAATAAAATTTTACCCAATGATGAAATTCTAAAGAAGTTACAAACGTGTAATTTTTTTGAAAATTTTTAGGCAAGAGACCTTTTCTTGAATTTGATCAAGGTGTTGGAGGATTTAAAAATTGATTTGAGAAATTTTATTTATTTCTAATTTGAAAAAAAAAGTTAGAAAGAAATTATAGTGATTTAATTGTATAATTGATTGTGATTACAAATGTTAAATTTGGTAGTTGATTATTGTATTTTCTTATTATGAACTTGGCTATGTGTATTAGGTATTAAATTTGATAAAATATTTAATAAATTCGATGACAAAGCTTTTTTAAAGAAACTGACGTGTTACTTGAATACTCTTAAAGTGAAAAATGTTTTTAGCGAGTCGACCAAGGTGTTAGAGAAAACTTAAAAATATGTCCAATATTAGAATATTTAAACTAACAACAATAATAAATTAATAAAAATGAATTAGGAATAAGAGACCATTGAATTAAGGCTAAGAATATAACTTAAGAATAATTAATACCAATTTGTGGGCATAGTAAGGGTTCTGTAATCTTCATTACATATAACCAACTCTCAAATCCAATTCTTTTAAGTAAATCAAAACTTATTCTTTTTAGAGATCCTTAGTCAAGCTTAAAATAACCTTAAAAGGAAAAAATTCACTTAGATGACCAATTACACCTAGTTAAAAAATATTAGTGGTGACTTCATGTGTTGCGTCTAATGGGTTAGTTCTCATACGTACACGTTATGACAACTACAACTAAAACAAAAGAAACAGGTAAAAAAAAACAAATCAAATGCTACAAAAACATATACGCTAATGACATGCCGAACAAAAAGGCATAGTGAAATACAGAATGTAGCAAGGCTTTTGAAAAAAATTTGAAAGAAGTACAGCATGAAAAAACAAAAATATGAAGCAACCCAACAACTTTGATAAGATACAATAATGTGACAAACAAATTTTAAGTAAAAACAAAAATCCAAATAAAAAATGGTAACTAAGATAAATTGAAAAAACAAAAAAAATTAAAATCTAAATCATAAAGAAATGTTAAATAATAAGCAAAACCCATCAAAAAAATTAAAAGAGCTTGAAGAAAAGAAAAGGCAGCAAAACACAAAAGAGGCAGCAAAACAGTGGAACAACAAATAGAACAATTCTCTCTTTGAGATGATCGAAAAAAAAAGAACAACTAAAACAATTTAAGAAGACAAAAACTTTATTGATTTAATTTTGTTAACAGGGTGGAAAAAGGAACCCAAAAACGAATGAAAAAGGCACTATCATTCTTTTCCCATTCAATATTTTTTTTTCTCTTGCATTGAATATTGAATTTAAAAAAAATGAAGCAATGATGATCAAACAACAAAAAATTCAAATAACAAACCAACCTCTCACCAACTCCTCTAATGAATCTGCCAACAAATCAAATCCTCACAAACTATGACCATGAAAAACATCATAAAAGTGAAAGATTTAAAAATTATTTTTTTTTTCCCATAGGCTCAAACCTTCCTAAAAAAATCTTTATCCTCACAAAAATAAAACAGGAAAAAACGGATAAACTAGGAAACAAAATGAAAAAAGAAAAGAAAGAAATAAGGATGTGGAAACTGATAAAGTGGAAAACAAAATGAAAAGAAACAAAAAAGGGTGGATGATGCATGTGGATCAAGATAGATAAATTAAAAAAGGAAAAAAGCTCAAATGCAAAAAAAAAAAAAAAAAAGAATACCATGGACAGGCCAAGAGCTCTTATTTTCTACAAAATTTATCTTATGGACATGTATAAAATAATTTTAATAATTTTGAGGGATTACCACGTCACCCGACCCCTATTTTCATCTTTATAGATTACATTAATCAATCAAAACTATTGAACGATCTAATAAAATATGAAATATTTAGTATCATAATAAAATAAAAGTTTATAGGTTTAATTCTATTCTATTAAAAATTTATTTTCATTTTTTATAGTGGATCTCGAGGGGTATATTAGAATATTATCTTCAAGACTTCAACTTCTTAAATAGTATATTAAGCATTTTTAATCACTTTGGATTAATATTTCAATTCATTTACAGCATTAATAATACAAAAATATTTGCTTTTAAATTAATGGGTTGTCATCAATTTTAGTAAAAAAAAAAAATGGACACGTGTATACTGTTCACGTATATATGCATGTAGTGTTGGATATTTCCAACATGTAGCCTGTGCGCATATTTACATACATAGATAATATATGTAATATTCATAAATTCCTTTTGTGTTTATAATAATGAGTTTAATCTTTTTTATTTTGGTTCGTGCATAAACTACATACAGAATAGCTTCAATAATTTTATTTTTGATAATACGATCAAGGAAGTTTTTTTTTTTATTATTTTGAAAATGATTAAGGGTGTTGTTAAAACTTTTTTTATGCTTAATCACTTATGCTTCTTGAGTGTTTCAAAATTTTGGATTGAACATGGTTTTAACATATATGTAATTAAAGATTATTCAAATAATCCATCTAGTTCTGCTGAGATACAAATTAATGCCCAAACTGGTGACAAAAACATTTAGTTTGCTTAGCCATAATTTTTCCTATATGCCAGTTTGACACGTTAAAGAAAAAAACTGCAATTAAAAAAGTGCTTAGGGTGGAGTTGAAGACTAATTACCTGATCGTTTATCTTAACTTAAGCAACTTATAGAATTTGGGTTGCCTACAAAATTAATGCCTCTTTTATATATAAATATATACATATAACATTAAAATTTTAAAGCATTACTTTTATTTAATTAAATCCTTATTTTGCAAGAACAATGTTAAAGCCTGTTATTTTTGCAACATCAATATATAACTGATTTGCCAAATCAGTGTCTACATAGTAAAATTATGAAAATTCATGCTGAATTGTCACTTAACAGTAACACAGGCTCACAAACCATTCCACATTAGCGGCCACAAAATCCTTTTTTTACCATATATATATATTTATATACTCGCCATGTAGATGTTTACATGGTTATCATAATGATCACATAACCGTTTACAATACAGAAAATAACGGATTTTAAAAGTTTTCAGACAAAATAAGATTTAATTAAACAAAAATAATATTTTAAAGGTTTAATTAGATAAAAACAATACTGTAAGAGTTAAATTTTATACTTTTAAATGTATTCTTAAAGTTTCAATAATTTTACAGAAGAAATTTCATTTTCGTTGCGTTAAATTGCTTTTACCTTAGTTAAAGATTAAACATATAGCATGACAAAGGCCTGTATATCATTATGTTTTGATACTAATCAAAGGGACAGAAATAACAGAGGGTTTTGAACAACTAATCCATTTGTATGAGGTATCTTTTTAGTCAATTCTTTGCTTGCAATATTCCATGATTAGAAAGCATGAGAATATATCAATATAAATATGTAGAAAAGATATCATGATTAAACCTAAACTTTGATTTCCGACTTTTCATAAAAGTTGATCTTAAATTCCATTTTTGTTGATAATATTTTACGGCTTGGAATTGGTTGGAAGCACTGCACACTTTTTCTGTTTGTTCTTCTTTTTGTCTCCCAAAATAAAAGTCAGTGTTTAGTATTACTATGTTATTACCCTCGTCAACCCAAAGCAAAACTAGACTACGGCTTTATTTGAAATGAAGATTTTTATCTCTTAGCTCATTCCTGCATGATATGAATACAATGTCATTTCTTTTTTTATAAGGCCTATGATTTTAATATATACAAATTTAAAATTTAATTTAATTAGTTCATATATATATTAAAATAATATTTAATAATTTTAAATTTTATTATTTATAGTCTTTTCTCTTCTTTATTTTATTTTTATATTGTGATTTTTTCAAAGCTATTTAAGGTAAATTAGGCATAACATGCTCGTTACGAGAACTAGAGCTGGTTGATCATCTTCTGAGATGACAACTACACATGCATTTAAAGCTTCTTCGGACAATAATATATAATACTATATATATATATATATCTATCTATATATATATATGTATGGCTACTATCATCATAAACTCATGTGCATGTGGGTTAGTTCATCTCTCTCTCTAACTGACATACATATATATATATATATGCATGGACCACGTGATCCTAACCAAATTTCCTCTCCACTCCACAAACTCTTCAAAGTTCCCATATTCATTCCTCATGATCTTGAGAAACCAAAGAAAATGCGTCAACATCAATACTACATACAGTCAGGTGCAAATATTTAAATTATATAGAATTGAAGATGACGGTGAGTACATTTCCATAATCATGATTACTCCACTTAATTCCTGCAAGCTGGCTTAAGTTTGTCATTAAACAAGAAGCATTTTCAATCCTAACTTGAAACCTTGGAATAACTTATTCAAAGTGAAATTTTATTATAAAGAAAGGGGGAAAACAAATAGTAGTTTGTTTTGCAGGCACAAAAGAAACATGAAAGTCGAAGTAAAAAAGAGAGAGACATTTTGGGCACGGTGGGATGGGAACATGTTACATGTGTTACATGTACAACTAATTGAATGAAATGTTGAACAGTATGGTGTCGGCTTCTGATACGTTAGCAAGAACCTAACCCACTTGAGGAGCGCGTACCACTCGCAGTAAATTGGCGCGTAGGGAGGCTTTTCTTACAGCGAATCTTTGTTCTTTATGCGTCCACGAGTGCGTGTTACAGGGGAGGGGAAGAAGATTAGAAAAATGAAAACAATTGCATCTTTCTTCTATTCTAATAGTAAACCAAAGATTGAAAAAAGAAAAGAAAGAATAAAGAAAGGAAGGTAAAATTGGTTATTCCCTGAAACACTTTAGCGTTCGCTTGCGGTCTCATACGTCGCTGTCAGTCATAAATTAGGGGAAGGAAGAGAGCTATCAAAGCAAAGCAAGGCAAAGGCAAAGCATGAAATGAAATACTCTCTCTCTCTTTCTTTCTGTTGTCTCTCTCTCTCTCTTCGGGCGGGAAAAATGTAAAGCCTTTCTCTTTCTATAACATCATCTATTTCAACCCCTCACTTCACCTTAGATAGATTGCCTATGGCTCTCTCTCTCTTCAACTATCATCACTTTCTTCTTCTCTTACTTTATCTGGGTCTGGGTCCTCTCTCTTTTTTCTCCTTCCTTTCTAGTCTAATTTCAGGTACCAAAGCTTCTCTCCTTTGCTTTGCTTTGCTTGTTTTCTTTCACCTCATCTTGTAAAGAAATGAGTTTTTGACGCTGATTTCCCTCTGGGGACGTACATCTTCTTTCAAGAGTTAGCATGGCGGTTGTTTTTGAAGGGTTTTCCATCCGGTAAGTTGTTTCCTTTTATGAGTTTTTTGTTTCCTTTTCTAGTTTGCTTTACGCTTAGAAAGTTTCTTCTTCTTCTTCTTCTTGTTTGACTTTGTTGATCTGTTGTCTTTCCATAGCGAGTATGCTTCCAAAATGAGAAGCATCGACGTGGTGAAATGCTGGCCGTTCAGTGGAGCTCTTCTTCTTCTTCTTCTTCTTCTTCTTCAGATGATGGCAATGATAATAGTAAGATAAACAAACAAACCATGGAATCTCTTCTCCCTCCGATCACAGTTACCAAATTCCGCTGGTGGTCCGAAGAGATTGATCTTCTCAAATCAACTGAATTAGCTAACATACAAAGCAGTGGGTTGGAAAAAAGTAAGACTCAAGAAACACAACCCAGAAACCAAAGTGATATGTTCCAAGTAAATCTTCATGTTGGGGAGAAATCCAATGAAAGATTAGTAGACATGTTGGATTGTCCGGTTTGTGGGGCATTTGCTGCTTCCACAGTGAATGCGTTGAATGCTCATGTTGATAGCTGCTTTGCTCAAGCATCTAGAGAAGAGAGGCGCCAAATGAGGATGACAATTAAGGCTACAAAATCAAGAACCCCCAAGAAACGATCCATCAGTGAGATTTTTGCTGCGGCTCCACAGATCCACAAGGTTGATGCTGCCGCTGATGATGACAGTTTCCTGGATGAAGATGAAAATGGCGGTTTCGACAACGAGCTGGACCGCAAGATTGAGAGGCCAAAGAAGAAGATGATGATGAAGAAAAAGAAGAAAGTGGAAATTGTGAAAAAGTTGATGAAAAAAAAGAGGAAGTTGAAGAAGAATAAGAATCAGAATAAGAAACAAGATGGGCTGATTGCTAACAAGGTATGTGATTTACATCATAAAATATTGTTATTATGTGCTTTATTATGATTCCGAGTTGTTTGATTTTATTATCTGTAGCTTTCAGTTGTTGCAGCAATTTTTTGCATTTGATGAGGGTTATAATTGTTCATTATGTCATCATAAACTGTCATTCATTCTTAGTACTGTGGGCTTGTGATCTTTGTGTAGTTGGTAAATTGGAATTTGAGCTAGTTAAAAGTGCTAGGATTACATCTATGTTCTTCATATGCATTTTCTTTGTGCTTCTTTCTTTTCCTTTCTGAGCAATGAAATTACTGTTGATAAAGCTGGTTAAAGACTGTATTCGTTTTGAGGACTGAGATCACTGAGCGCTTGCCTTGTAATTGTACTTGTTGGGTGCAATAAGGTTCAGCAGAAGCATAGAGGGAAAAAAGAAAAGTTGAAAGAAAGAGAGATGGGGTTTTCATGTTTGGGAAGATTTGAGCAGGTTATGGAGCTTGGGTGAGGTGTGGTGCTCCAGCTGTACAGTACGGGTTGGGCAGAGAGGTCATTTATAAGGTAGAGGTTTTTTTGTCCTTGGTTTAGCATATCTATCCTAGATTAATGATGCTATTCTTTTCTTTTAGCTACTGTTGCACTAAAATTTTCTAACGAAGATAATCATTGAGATATTGGGGCCAGTTTTAGTTTTGATCTAATGGCTAGTGTTTCATCATATTGTGGGAGTTGCTCATCATTGAGATTGGTAGATAATGGACGCTATGGAAGGGCTTCAATAATATCTTCAGGTGAACTGTTTAATTAAGCTGTAAGATCGAATTGATGATAATGTGGAATGGAAAATTGCCACAAGGGATATGGATATTTGTAAATTGCTGTCATGATCTTATTGCAATATTTCCGCATCGAATGGCTTACATATGGTGTTATCTCAAGAACTAACTTTTGAAGAGAAATGTGTTCTAGCTCTGGTAACTATTTAGTTTTGCAATCTATCTTTGCATTTGTCGGAGAGGAGATTGTATTGGTGATGCCAGATAATTCTAATACATGTCTAGTTGAAAGTTGTTCTATTGAGCAGACCATATATTTTATGGGAAACTGAAACGGTTTAAGAGTCCCAATTTTGATGCATGATTTAGTATTTGCTGCTTTTGCTGTTCTGGGACTATGTCATCAGATGCATGATGAAATGCCAATAGTGTTCATATTTTATGAGACTCTTGTAGTTTTAGGAACCCTTCTTGGTGTTAATGGCAGCAAGGATTCATTAACTGGCATGGATTTTGTTTTATTGATAGTTTGGGGATGAAAGACATCTTTATTCCCTCTTGCATCTACTTTTGCTCATTTTTCGGTCATAGCAGGTGTGAATTCATTGTTCAATCATAGCAGGTGGAATTCAAACTATCAGGAAAATGCCTTTTATGTATTGGTATGAGCATGACCTTAAGCCTTGTCCTTGTGGTTTGATGTGAGATTTTGTTGGTAGAAAGTATAGGAATATTGCTGTAGAAGATAATATTGAGATGAAAGTATATTGACGGGAAACTTGTTATTATAGATGATGATGATGGCTTAAAATATGGGTAGTCTTAATTTGTTTTATAATCAGGAAATATAATTAATGCATAAGAACATGCTATCAAGTAGAATAACAACTGATGGTCATAAGTAACCATTGGATAAAGGTGCTGTTTGAAAAACCTAGGTGACTTGGTAAGTAGCTTTGATGAGTGTTGTATCCTCTTTAGACAGCAAACATGGCCTCTATAAGCTTCCCTATAATCACTTCATTGACAAATAACGAGAAAACCACTCATGTTTATAGTAGAAAATTAGTTAATGGATTTAGTATCTCAATTGGATATTACGTGGCCTAATATTTTGGTTTCTTGGTTATTTCTGCGACTTCCATGCATCTTTAACTTTTCTTTTGTCAAAGGGTAGTGTTTTAATGAATGCATTTTGGCAATATTGGTCTATGATATACAGTTTCTATCTAATTAAAGAGTATTCTTTTGGTAAACGCATTATGTTACCCTTAATTACTGTACTAGTGTGGGGACCTAATGAGGATATGCATGCTTTGCTACATCCTTATAGCCTTGAATCCTTATATGCTTGCAAGTTGCCTTTCTTTAGCCCCTTCCATATTTGCACGAGGAAAAAAGTTGATGTTAACTAATAGCTCTTTCCTTTTCCTTGTAGTAATATCCTTTATCCGTTATTTTAGGTAGTTCCAATTCCATTTTTAACGCTTTCTTTTTGTACTCTTCTTTATGTGAATTTTATACAAGGATTGTGTGCCTTCTTTTTACTTCTGATAATATTTTACTAGTAACAAAAGAAATGAATAATTAGGAATGCAGACTGTGCCATTAAAATTTATATTATTCAAAGGAAGACCAAGTTTGGAAAGAATTGAAGATAGACATATTGTAGAACCAGGTTATTTTGCAGGCGCTGTCTTAGAGAAATTTCCAGTCTTTAATATGGCTGTGAGTGTTGTTCCTTCTGCTACAATATGTCAAACATATTGACGAATTGGAAAGAATGTAAAAGAGCTATCTCGTTACTACCAGCTACTAAACATGTCTGATTTAGATGTAGTACTAAATTGAAAAACAAATATTCTTTACATCTCTAGGACTCACAACCACTGGAATAGTTGAATTCTTTGATGTTTAGGAAATTTTGACCTTCTAAAATCTCTTCACAGTTTCCAGATCTTTTTTAGTTAACTGGTAATTTTAGTTTCACATACATTTGCCTATCCTTTTTTTTTCTATTTCCCAAATTTTAGATGCTTTGACTACTTTTGTTGTATCCGGAAGTGTTCTTTAGGTACACTATCTAGTAAAGCCAAAGGAAGATTCTTTTCTAAATAATTGTTCTTTAATCTTTCCTGGGCAACATTTTCCTTGTCTAATTTAGCTTCTACATCTCATATGATATCTTCTCATTGTTATCACAATATCACTGAAAAAGTTTTCTGCCGTATTTAGAAAAATTTTTAATATTTTCTTCTTAATGCTAGGCATTCCAATTTTATTTTGAAATCTGATGTGGAAGCTTCATTTTTCTGCTAAAGAACTATTTATGAAAAGTAATTTTTGGAATCTTAGGATTTCATTTAAAATAGACTTTTTTCTTCTTCTTGTCAAAGGAACATTTTCCCCAACGATTTCCTCCTAAAGCTAGAAAAGTAATGAAAACAATTACTCTAGAATGGTTTTATAGGAAGCACACCCAGAGGTAATTGAAAATTCCCGATGCCATATTTTTCTGTAATAAAGGATGTCTAATGACTATCATGCATGTCTTCAACTGCAATTTCACCAAAGATTGACAATTCTCAAGATCATGATGGTGGCATTGTGACAAAATAGTTTAGCTTTGGATTGCAGTTATCACTAGTCATATTTGTCATGGTGCAAGAAAATTTTAAGCAGTTTTTCCTACTTGTTATACTATCTGAATTGTTTATAGTTGTTTTGTACTCTTTTCATGGCAAGGATGTTGTTTTCTGCACTAGAGGCTAGTTCAGATGTTGAATTTCCTATGTAGTATTATTCATGTCCAGAAGCAGTGAGGAACAATAATTTGTGCTTTTTTATAGCGAAATTTTTGGATTGTCACAGAATAATCAGTGGTTTCTCATTTGTCATCTCTTTTATTTTATTTTATTGTTAGTCATTTACATCCCATCCGTGTTACAATTTGTCTCTCTTCTCTCCCTCACAAACCCACAAAGCTTTACCTGTGGACTTGAAAATTCCCATGCCAGCCAACGAGCCAAGATGAGGGTTGTATCTATTTTATTTGTCGTCTTCTTCTGTTCTTTCTTTCTTTCTCTTTTCCCCTTATTAACTTGCTACTTGTACTAATTTTTTTACTTAATTAATTTGAAAATCTTATAAGCCAACTACTTCCCTATTAAATCCTTTCTCTGTATATATCATTTACATTTCCAAACTAACTATTCACCATGTATAATTATACATCTTCATTTTCATAGGATGGTCTTTAACTTCAAGTTTTGCAATTTGTCATTACATCGACCAACGAAAAAGGGAAATTGAAGAAATAACGGGTGATAAACTTGTGATAGCAGTATGATAAAGTAATGAGAATTAAAAGGATGCTAGGTAACACTATCAATACATAAGGAAATAAACTATGAACTTAGGATTATTAGAAATGTGATAGGAAAAGGACTATGTGATCTGAATTTGTTAATAAACTACAAAAATTTTGGTTGAATCAGTACATTCTTCGAGGCAATTCTTCCTGTCAGTAACATTTGACTTCTTAAGCTGGCTACAAGGAATATGCAAATGCTGGTGCTTCCTTGGACAAGCAAATAGTGACATACATGGTTTGCAGTAGGTATAGAAAATGATTTGAATTGGCGCCATGTTGTTGAAAGTTGATATAAAATCATGGTATTGTCCAAGAAGATTTTATATTGCAAAGGTAGTCTACACATTGTTGGTATAGGATGGGATAACCCTTTGTGAGAGTTCTGTTGCAAGTTGACTGCTGTTCTTCAGCTTTAAGTTCAGTTTGGCACTCTTGAAATGTCTTACATTTTGATGATTCTGTTTTTCATATCTCAGGAGAAGGGTAGCAAGCAAACTCCAGTCAATTTCAATAGAAAACCAAATCATGTATCATGCAATAGGAGCTCAAATGCCGTTTCTATCCTTAGAAAGAAACCAAGTCTCAAATGCTTGTCTGTGAAGAAGAAAAGCAAGGTTGTTCAAGTATCCAATCAAATTGTAGAGCATGAAAAGCCAAGTTCGCCTGTTCGTGGCATTCTCAAGAATCCCACAAAAAGTATTTCTGGACAAAATGCAGCAGTGTGCAATGTGAGGGCCACTACTCAAGCAAGTACCTGTGCCGATCTACATTCTGCCAGGCATGTCAGTTTCTCAGGTAAGGATGATATACTTGTTCCACAAAAGAAACATGTTGCTTCATTTGAGAAAAGAATTAGCCTCATTGATTTGGATTCATTTGATCTGTCACAAAAAGGCCACCAGAATGAAGTTGATAAAGAATTTTCAGCTAGAGAGATAAACAGAAGTGATGAAGATGTTTCTTTTAGCACAGAAAATGAAATTAGGGTGCAAGCTATGACAGAAAAGCAAAAGTTGCCTGATAGTCATCACAATGTTGATATACCAAAATTTCTCAGACCATGTACCATTGAGCAAGAAAAAGCAAATCATTTCTCAGATGGATCATTGCCCCCAGATCAAGTTGTTTTAGATTCTGGTAATTTGCATACGTCTAACCTAGGAAATCAAACTGCATTTCATGGCCCCTCATATACTGGTGTTCCTAGACTCTTTTCTACACTGAAAGAGATCCAAAATCCTTTTGTCAATTCTCAAGTATGTAGTGGTGTTTCTACAGCTTTGAATTACAGTTCCCTCTGGGTTGATTATTTTGGAGATAATACCCTGGAGGTTTCTATGAATTCTAAGGCAAATCCAAGGACATCGTTTCAGTCTTTATCATCTGGTCTTGCTTTGAGTAAAAATGCAAACGAAAGTGCTCCATTTATGTCAGAATTTGCATCAGAAAATGTTTCAGGCCCTGCTTTGTCTCATCATCCAATATATTGTTTGTCTCCTATTGAACTGAGGGGGACTCCATGTCCCTTTCCAGAATGGAAACAGAAGGCAGTTGCCTTACGAGAAAAGTATAGCGATGAGGAATTTTTTGGTTTGCCTCTTAATTCACAAGGTGAACTAGTGCAGGCAAAGTCAAGTGGAAAAGGAGGATTCAACCAGCTAAAGAAATCGAGTTCAGTATCTGGTTCTTCCAGTAGTGTTAACAATCTTGTCTTGCCGAGGAGCATGGATGATCATTCAATTCTGAAAGGGAAACATTTTATTGGAAGTGTTCTTCCAAATAATCAGTTAAGTTTGTTTCCTGCACAGAATCACATGAAAGAGAATGACACTAAACATTTACCAGCTCGATTGGGGGCTACTGAATGGCAAGGCCATAGGAAAGAAGATGACTACTGTCTAAATTCTGAAACGAGATGCAGCCCCTCTGTCTGCTTGATGGATTCTGACCTAAATTTGATGAACATGTCTTTTAGTGGATGTGGGCAATATGACCGGTTTCTGAACCAAAAGGATAAAGGCATTACTCGTGCAAAGGAAAATGCAGACAAGATGCTCCTGAATAGTCCCCCTCCAACAATGAGGTTGATGGGAAAAGATGTTACAATTTGTCGAAGTAGTGATGAGAGAGAAGGATTTGCAGATGGAAAGGTCTGGACTGATAAGGAAATCATAAAAGAGCACCATCCTCAAAGTACTGTCCATCAGAATTCCTATGTTGATAGACATTTTCTTTTGGATCCAGCATCAGGAAAGTTTAAAGAAACTCCTGTTCAACAATTTGAAATAGAGAGCAATCAGGAGTTTTGTAGCAATGTACTCATGAAGCCTCTTGAGTCTAATTTCTTTCAGCCGGGCCTTAACTGGCAAGCAAATCCTGAATTCCATAATAGCAGCCTTACAGTTGCAAGAGATCCTAATAGAAACTCACACCATTTCGCTCATCCACCCACTTCCCGTGCTGTTTTTGACAATAGAGCTAACTTTCAGGAGTCTTTTATATCCAGAAATGAAACTTTAAGAGTTAGTTCACAACTACCTGCAGCATCTACTTCACACAGAAGCTATCAGAATATAAATAGGAATTCTGTTGAACTCAAAAACAATCAGAATCTACTGAATGCTGGAAAATCATCTATCAACTTTCCCTTTTTGCACCCAGATCATGTTGAATATGTCCAACCATCTTGGTTTTCCGGCTCCTCAAAGAGCCTGATCCCATGGTTGTTACAAGCAACACAGCAAGTGAAGGCACCCAGTACACCTTCTCAACCATTTCCTGAAGTGGGTGGTCGATGTCATCACCATGCTGCTCGAACTAGTTTTCACACCCACCACTTGGTTCCTCATTCACCAATGGTTTCTTATGATTACAATCCAATGATCTCTCACTCACACATGGAAAGTTCAGCTGGGCAACCATCTATAGCTCTTTCCCCACTCAATCCAGCCCTTCCTGGAATGAAACCAACTTCTTCTATTAACAGGAGCCACAGGAACAGAATCAAGGTCAAAGACAGAATGAAGTCAAAAAGTGTTGGCATTAGGGACCCTGATATTCGCCAGAAAACAAGGAAGAGACCTGGAGCTAAAGAAGATTATCCAATGAAGCCCATTAAGATACCTAATGTAGGAATTGAAGCTGAATTAAGAGCTGCAACTCGGTTGACGAGAGAAAAGTTCATTGATGACATTCAATGTAACACGAGGTCTCTTGAAACTGAACCTGACAGGAATGAAGCAAGCCTTGTAGAATGGATTCCAAATGAATTTCAATGCAATGGGTTTGGACTTTCGGCTGGAATTGATTCTTCTAAAGTTGATGGTTTGACAAGACCAGGTCCTATTAAACTGAGTCCTGGGTTGAAGCACATCCTGCAACCGAGCCAAAATGTGGATCAGGATAACTCGAGGCTGATCCATTCAACTACCCCTTTTGCATCCATGACTGATTGTGGTAGCATTTTGGAGACTCAGAAGAAATCAACAAAGATTTATAGGTTTTGAGAGTGAGTCTTATCCTCCAGCAGCTAGTTTTCTGTTTCAGTTTTCATCAACCAGGCTTTATAAATTTTGCGTGTTGAATGTAACAGGACTGTCTACTAGCCCAGCAGGATACAAGACTTTTTGTATTTGACTGCTCTTCGCTTGCAAGTTCAGTTTTCATGCATTTGCTACCAGCTCCAACTAGTGAGATTATATAATAATCGACATAAAGAGCAAAAACCAAATGCAAATCACCTGTATTACAATCCGAGAGCCGAGGATCTGTTAATTGCTACATCATGGTTTAAGCTCCAATCCCTCTTTTCCAACAAGAAAAAAGTTATTTCTTTAATTTGAGGTTTCTGTACTTGGATTTTACAATGTTGCAAAAAGTGGATTTATGGTTCTTTAGTGAAGCCATTACTAGATGTTTCACTGACCATTTTCTTCTTGAAATTGTCAGTAGCCATATGTGAAGCATGGTCTATCCCAATGTAAGCCTAATTATATATGTAAAAACTGAATTATGTCTCATTTTGATTGGAAGGATGATGCTTACACTATATTTATAATTTCTCCTTAATGATTCTTTCTTTTCAGGAGGAAAAGGATTTTACTTTTCTAAAATAAAGGGAGGAATGCAGATTAGTTTTGATGTTGATTCTAGGTTTTTTTTCCCTTTAACTACCTCAAAAAATATTTTAATTTTTTGGCCAAATACTATTTGTCTATTTCTTTAGGCATAACTTCGGTGTGTCATGTGGGGTTGAGATCCGGTTCTATTTTTTTGTCAATTACCTTCACTACATTAATAATTTTTTATATTCTATACGAAAATAATCTTGTGGATCTATTAATTCCTGTTTTCGTATTTGTTTATAATACATATAAAATATGAATATTTTTGTGTTATAATTCCTATTAACATGTCAAATATAAAATACATTTTTTTAATTTTTATCAAATTCATATAGGTTTTGTTAAAAGTTTAAACGGTATCACTTTTCATATTTTTTTCATATCATATGATCATATTGTGTAAAAAATTGTCAAATTTAATTATGAGCATCCTAATTAAGTATAAGACCTAACTAATCACATAAAAATATTGTATTGGAAAGTAATCGAAAGAATTTTTTTTATATTTTTGGGTTTATTTGATCTTCATCATTTTTGGTGTGCAACATGGTGAGTCAAATAGTCATAAAACCCTTATTTTACTTCATTTTGTACTAATGAAATCAAATCACTAAACACCTTTTAATAAGTGGCAAAATTATCTTCCGTATATATTATTTTCTGTAGTGAGTAATATATAAGAGACTTGATCTATTGATAAAAATGACAGAGAAATGCCTTTGGATTAGTTGAGTTGGTAAGATTTGAATATTTCATTTGTAAAGTCTAAGATCGAATCCCGTTGCTATAATTCTCTCTTGAAGGACGATTTGTAAATATAATATAAATCCTTTTAAACATCTATAGTCTACCTTGACCCTAAATTTCTTGTATAAAAAAGGAAAAAAAATTCAGAACGAGCATGTTCAAGTAAGTAAAAAGGTCTCTTGGGATAAATCTTGACATAAAACTTGACATCTCTATTTAAAGAGATCTTCGTTAATAGTTATAACTCTTCAATTGTGTTGATTTATTTAATTAAGTTTTCCATTTATGGAATTCATATCTTTTTTGGAATTCAATAAATGTCATTTACAATCTTTTATAAATAAAAAATACCTTATGAAAAAAATTAAAACTTATTTGAAACAAAACTAGTCGTTATAGTCAAAAGTTGTAAAATTGGAATTGAAGCCTTCAAATGCTCTAGAGGTCTATAATTATTATGTTAAATGTTCATGAGGTGGAGTAAGTTTAGTCCCATGTTAATAAAAAAGTTTTATGCTAATATATATGAAATTAAAAATAAGTGAGAGGGGTTATGTTTTCATTTCTATGAAAAATAAATTCATTAAAGAATTATTATTTCTTTTTTTTAAGAAAAAAAAACTGATAATAATAAAATTAAACTTTATTGCAAGAATTTCTAATATGAGTGGCATAAATAGTAAGACATGGGATGAAATCAAGTGTTACAAAATATGTTAGCAAGCATAATAATTTTTCAAAGCATTCCAACTAAGAAAAACAAGGAAATATGACATAAATAGAAATTCTTTTATTAGAAACCAAAGGTGAAGCACTATAAACTTAAAAAATTAAAAATTGTTTAATAACTTTGGCCTCAAGTTGATATTAGAGACAAAGACAAATTTGTTTTGTCCAAAGATGAAATATGTTTTGGAAAAAAGTAGGACTAATCTTATTTCATCACATGAACGTTTGACACTATGTTTTGGCATATGTCAAATAGCCTTACTCCATTTTATGAACATTAATAAAATTTTTCTGATCTAATTATGATTAGCATATAATAACAACATGATAGAAGATATGGTAAATCCTAAACGCAGTTGATTAGATTACAAAATTTTCCTTTCACATGTATACCTTATATATAAATCATCCATTGAGAGGGTGACTGGTTGCCATGTGGCAGTCAATCTCTCGTAAGATGATTTTAAAAAAAAAATTTAAGGCTTTTATATAAAGAAAGAAAATAGAATAAACGGCGCCAGCGGGTTAGGAAAAAAAAAAGAGTAGGGGTGGGATACGTGAGAAAGAAATAGAATGAACAGAAAAAAAATGTTGAATTTAACTCTTAAATATTAATAGATTTTGAAGTATATGTTTTTAAAATAATATATTTATATTTAAAAATGTAAATAAGTATAATATAAATGTAAATTATAATTTTTTTATTAATAATTAAATCAATTTTCTCAAATAAATAATTTGATAACATAAATATTAATATATTTTTTGATATTGCAAATATTAATATATAAAATATATATTAATGACATCGTAAGTATTTCATGTTATTTATAAATAATTACTACTTTAATATAGTACAAATATATAACAAATTTAAACGATAGTTTTATAATTTTCTACTATTATAATATATTTGTATAACAAAAGAATCCTCCATGTAAAGCTGGGCAAAACGTTGCTGGTTTACGAAAAAGTGAACTAGTCCGTTGAAAAAGATTTAAAACCCATATACCTCCATGGTCAAAGGTCAAAAAAGCCTTCCATGGTACAACAGTATATTTATAGATTATTTATCACTGTGATTTTGGGAAATTGGGTTTTGGAAGAGAAGTTCTGAGTCTGACCAATGTACAGCCTTCCTTCACGTTTCCTGTCGTTTGTATCAGCATCGCTCCTCACTGCTTCTGACTTTTGATGATAGCAACCTTTCACAACTCTGTTGCCTGTTTAGTTATTTGCTTCTGATCTATTCTTTTCTCTATAAAAATTTTTAACTCAAAATTATTCATAATTTTAGTACAAAATAAGACACTTTACTGGTTGGAATTTTGTCACTTCTTATGATAACATGATGGTGTCTTTGTGTATCAATGAAGTGACAATTGTTCCAAAATATATGTAAATATATTGATTTTAATATGTTTTTTTGGACAGTGAGAAAAAGATTAATTGTTCAAATTAAATTTTGTCTAACTATTTATCTACTAGTATAAAATTTTTGTGGATAAGGTAACAATTTTTACCTTCAAAATATATAATTGAAAGGAATTTGCATTTTGATTCTATATTATCTAGTTGAATCTTCAAGAAATTCAGCATGGCAATACTTTGATTCACAGCTTATGTTATATAATAGAGATAAGGTAAAAATTTATCATTCTACTTACTTGAATAATTTAAATTTATCATTAGTTTTTCAATTGATCATATAATCTTACCATTATTCTTTTAATATGGGAGTAAATTTACCATTACACTTCTAATTTTGAAATAAATTTGATCAAGATGTAATGGTTGAGAAATATTCTGTAAAATAATTCGTTAGAAACTGTTTTATAATTCAAACAAAAAACTTTGGGAAATTACATGATAAGGAAAAATGTTACGAGTAATTGAAAAGTATTATGTGGTATTATATTTAGTAAAAAATATTAAAAAATTGAATTAAGTGAAATTATATTTAGTAAAAATTATTATAAAATAATAAAGTAAATAAAATGAAAAAAGGGGGATTTTAACTTCATGGTTGTCTTTTAAACCCATAGCATTTTCAAAATTATTTTTTGAACTGCAAAACAGCTTTTATCAAATTTTTACACTGAATATTCTTTAATTACTCCAAATTTTGAAATAACGGTAAATTTGCTCAAAATTATTAGTATAGTAATATAATTGCAACGGTTAATAAACTTGAATCATTCACATAAGTACAATGGTAAATTTGCACCCAATTATCCATATAATATATATATATATAGTAAGACAAGGAAAAAAATTAAGCTGATCATCAGAGAAAGGTCTGATAAGTCCAGCAATGGTATTATTGTACATAATTGCATAAGCGTTCAGGATTTTGCAGAAATGCTGGTCGAGAGAATTATTTACTTCCCCATAAATGCTAGCTTTTTATTGAGAATGTCAGATACAATGCTCCTTGAGCCAAATTTTTCATATTTCTTGTTTGATATCTATGCAAATTAAACTTGTAATATTGTTTGACAATCATTAGTGATAAAATGGAAAGCCAATTACATTGATATATTAAACAAATTAACATGATAGGCTTCAAGGTTTCTTTGCTTCTCTTTCGGCCTGAAAAAAAGCAGTTCAAAGAACAGAAAAACAATTAACTAATCAGGTTGAGCAACGAAGAACTTATGTGAATGAATTGTTGAGCAACAAAACAATAATTACCACTTTGATAATTCGCTCAAACGCAGGCCATCCATGCTTATCAACGTATTCAGCTACGTTTTTCCTGGCGTCAAAGCTGATCATCTGGAGGATCTTCCTTTGATACTCTGTATAATTTGAGCCCACAAACCCACCCAGCTTTATGTATTTTCGAATATGTTTTTCATAGATATAAGCTGCTCCGTTAAATATCGGTAGCACCAACCACATGCAAAATAAGAGCTTCATGTATGACCAAAATGGAAGCCTGAAATCATTACAATTTTTTTTATTAAAAAAATTAAAAGCTAAATATCATTATTCTTAATCTTGTACTATAAAAGTTACTTACCAAGCGAGGATATTCCAAAATGAGAGCTCAAATAGGGTTATGAAGGAATATATAATCCAATAGGTTAACCACTGCTGGTCATCTACCATGGAAGGACTTTCTATTGCTCTGATTGAGGCATATCTGTTCATTCATATACACAAAACTAAATCCATATCAGTCGTTTCTTAATTTATTTCTTTTCTTCTCTTTCTTCTTATTGGAAAGCATTTTTTTGGTTTTCTGAGAATTCTGACACATGCCGTACTTACAATGGATAAAGAAGCATTACACCAGGCCTGGGTCACACAGAAAAACAAATTTATTAGACCTTTAATATATTATATATATTGATTTAAATTCGAGTAATAAGTTAGATATATAGTTTAAAAGATATGACGAATTGATGACAGAAAATATATTACTATAATTAGACATGATCTGTAAAACAGATGATAATTTCAACATGTAAATAAATAATTAGTACCCGACTATTGCATCTAGACGTTTAGCAATTACTGTAAGAAAACCCATATTATCACAAAGCTGTAGCCTGATGATCTGCTAGCTCTCGTCTCTTTGGACTTTGATCAATAAAAGCTGATGAAAATTTTGAGGGAGATAACGATCGATGCAGATACAATAACAGAATTATATGTGAAGAATGAATGAAATTATGGCAGCAAGCAATTTAAAGCTTTGTGGGGCTCAAGGCTGAAGCTGATGATATATTTAACGAAGTAAAGAATATGCGTTGTGTTGGATTGGAAGTGCCAAAAGTCTTCTTTTCTCTGCTAACAAGAAAGCACTGGATGTGGGAATAGTATTTGGTATATATGCCTTGCCTTTCTTTCTTTCTCCCCATATGCCTTTTCCCTTTTCCTAATAAAGTTGTTGTTTTAGTTACTTTTCTTGGAATCTCTAAACTCAACATATATATATATATATATATATATATAAGCTGGCCATCATGAAAGTAAATATCCTTGGACTAAGCTGATCTCTGCACGCGCTGTTACCACCAAAACTGGCAAAAAAAAAATGTGTCACTCTCAAGCGAACAAACTCTTTTTGACATGCATATGGTACTCATGTTTTTAGGTGATATATATTGCAAAGTAGCTTAATTTTGAGGTTTGAAATATTCGATCTGATCATATATCATATCATGCTTAATTAGGCCATGTATATATATATTAAACGAAATAGGAGTGGATTGAAAGGATGAAGCGAATAAGGCCAAGGCCAAGAAATGGCGCTTATATGAGGAGATAGACGAGAAATTGATGGGTGAAGTCAATAAGAAAAGGAAAAGATCACAAAAGTAGGGTAGTAGAGAGACGAATGTAAGCAAAGGGTCAAAAGATGAAGTTCCGATTGCAAACTATCGATTTCACATGGCGATTTTAGGAATTGAGAATAGATTTATTTTAAAGGAGATGAAGAGAAACATATACGAAGAAAGCGGAGGCGATCTAGAGAGTGGGTAAACAACCTGATATTACTTCAACAGGTGATAATGAAGCAATAATTAAAAGAATACAATTGTTTGATGGGTTCGAGAAAAAAAAACGCCCTTTGCTTTGACTATTGAGGGTAATTTTCCATATCTTTTCTTCTTATTTCTTCAGGTAGAATTTGTGGCGGGTTTACGGTGGAGCATTGTTGGTGTTCTGTTTTATCGATTCTTGGGTACAAGTGGTATTTTCTGATATCTATTTAATTAATCTGGGTGATTCTAGTGTCTTTAGTTGTGGATACAGAATGAGATTAGCTTCATGGAAGGTTCATGGAAACTCTGGAAGTATGACAGCTCAAACTATAAGAAGGCTGATAAGATCGCTCAATCTTGAAATGATGATGTTGCAGGAAACTAAATTGTCTACCTGTAAGTTTAGATTCTTTGAAATGATTTGGCGTTTCTTTAGAAGAGTTGTCTTTTATGAAAGACATTACTTACGTCAATGGAGTCGACAGATGGATAAGAATTGTTGTAATATTTTTGTTTTTGAATTGTTTTTAAATGGTGGGGATTGAGTTGAAATGGTGGATTTCGTTCATAACTACTGGGAAGCCAATGAATTTGCTAGAAAAAAAAGGAGTGGACCGGCATTGTCTTTTTAATGTTAGGCTTTAACGAAATTTACCATTCAAGAAGCGTGTTGTAACTTGGTGTATTTTTGCTTGGTTTCTTTTGACTCCGTCTCAATGCAGATATAAACTGGTTTCGTTCCGTCTTTTATTTCAACAAAATCCATTTTTGATTGAGAAAACAAATCAACAATTAACAAAAACCGGAAAAATACAAAGAAAAACCAAAAGGTTCAAAGTAAATAAATAAAAAAACACAAAAGGGAAAATGCACAAACAATTAAAAAAAAGAAAACAACATTACAAACAACACAAAAACAATAAATAAAAAAGGGGAGTTCTTTTAGGTTTCGCGTTAGACTTTCATGAGGGATTTATAGATTTTAAATCTATGGAATGATGAGGAAGGATAGAGAAAGATGTTTAGAGGTGGTTTTAGGGTCAAAGGTAGAGACGGCGTTGCTAGATCTAGAGTTTTAGCTTTTGAATTTTTGCATTTTTTTCTTAAAAACAAATTTTTTTTAATTATATCAATTAAAGGAATGAAAAGGCTGAGAGGAAGAGAGAAATTAAAAAAAAAAAAAGTCATGCCAATAAGCGACGACCAACAATGACCGACGATTGCGGATGGCGAAGAAGATTGCTGTGGATGGTGATTGAAATTAAAATGGGGTCGCAGAGAGAATGAGTCAGCTGGTAGGTTTAAAATGAGAAGAAAAAAGAGAAACGAAACAAGATTTTAAAATTAAGGTTTAAATAGGCTTAAATATTAAAAAATTCTTAAACTATTTCAATTTTTTTAATAAATTTTATATTTTTATTATATTTAAATAAATTTTTATTACAAATGAAAGAATAATTTATATTAAGAGTTTATTTATGTGTAAATTAAAAATTAAAAATTTATTTAAATATGATAAAAATATAAAAATTTATTTAAATAAAATTACTAATTTTAAAATTTTTTTATTATTTTAACCGTTTAATTAAATTTTTATGAGTTTCCCAAAATAAACGTTTTAGGTGTTAGAAAAGGAAAGAGAAAATGGGTCGGGCCAAATTTGATCCATCCCGAACTCACTTTAGATAGCCTTGGACATCATACTTAGGTCAAACAGGAACAAAAATTTATAATTATTGTAACTTTTTTTATTAAAAAAACTATAATTTATAATAAATTAAAAAATCATACATATATTAACTAATTAATAAAAATATTCTACTCATAATTTAGCATGAAAAAGGAACTAAATATATTAATATATGGAATATTGGATCTAAATATTTTTCCAAAATTTTTTGTGCAAACTAAAATTTTTTCATATTTATACTAAAATACCCAAAAGGGTTTAATTCTTGAATATATATATATATATATATATATATATATATACACACCAGTATGTGGTCCCCATTACATCGAGGATTAATTCTTTTATTTTAAAATATAAATTATTCAATTTTATTTTAATAAAAATATAATTATTTAGCTTATTTGATCATTTAGTTTTTTATTATTTTTAATAAAATATCACATGTCTAATTTTGTAAATCAATGATAAAAGTTCTTTAATAATTTAATATGTAGTTAATTTTATATTATGTTAAAATTTAATATGTAATTTAGTAAGAGCATTATAGTAATTTTAAAACAAAATATCACATGTCAACTTTCTATGAAATACTCATAAAGGTATTTATATAATTATAGTATAAGAAGTATTATAATAATTTTGGCCAATTACAATAGAGGACATTTTTGTAAGTATAGTATGAGGAGTATTATAATAATTTTGGTTAATTATGATAGGAGGGTTATTTTCATAATTATAGTAAGAAAGTATTATAGTAATTTGATCAATTATAGTATGAAGGACATTTCTATAAATATGACAAGATGACATTATAATAATTTTGGCTAATTATAAAAAAAAAGTAATTTCATAATTATGGTAGAAAAATATTCTAGTAAATTTGAATACAAGTCAAATCATATTAACTAAACAAAAGGGCGTTATAGTTATTTCTATAGAAATTGTTTTAATATATGTTATTTAACATTTAAAAAATAATTTAATAAGGGTGTTATAGTAAATTTCAAACAAAGTTCCACATGTCAAATATTTATGAAGCAATGGCAATGGCAATGGGATTTTAATAATTTAATATGTAATTAATTTTATATTATATAAAATTTCATATGTAATTTAATAGGAATATTATAGTAATTTTAAATAACATGTTACATGTCAAATTTTTATATAGTAATGGTAAGGATATTTTAATAATTTAATATGTGATTAATTTTATACTATGTTAAACTTTAATATATAATTTAATAGAGGTATTATAGTAATTTTTGGTTAATTATGTTAGGGGTATTTTCATAATTTTGGTAGAATGAGCTTTGTAGTAATTTTTAGCTAATTATAATAAAGATTATTATAATAACTTTGGATACGTGTCAACATCATATCAAATAAACAAATGGCTATTATAATAATTTCCAAGGAGATTATTTTAGTAAATGTTATTGACTTTGAAACAAAATGTCACATATAAACTTCCTATTAAGCATTTATAAGGGCATTTTTGTAATTATGGTTAGAGGGATATTATAATAAATTTCATTAATTATGAGAAGAAGGTATTTTCAAAATTATGTTAGCATAGTATTATAGTAATTTTGATCAAATATAAGAGAAGGGATATTTCTATAATTATGGTATGAGGACAAAATAGTTAATTTGACCACATATCAATTTCTTATCAAACAATGAAAAGGGTATTTTTTATAAATTTTTAAGAGTATTTTCATACTTATAATATGAGGGTATTATAGTAAATAATTGTAAGAGAAAAAGTATTTTTATAATTATGGTATAAGAGCATAATAGTCAATTTGGCAATGTGTTAATTTTTTATCAAGCAATGGAAATGGTATTTTAGTAAATTCATAGGAGAGGTATTATGGTTAATAATTATAAGAGAAATGATATTTTGATAACTATGATTGAAGACATAATAATCAATTTGGCCATATATCAATTTCTTACCAAATAATGAAAAAGGCATTTTGATAAATTCTTAGGAGATTATTTAATAAATAATTATAAAAAATATTGTTTTTGTAATTGTGATTTGAAAGCATAATAGTCAATTTAGTAATGTGTCACTTTCTTATCAAATAAATGGAAGGACATTTTGATAATTGGAAATTGTATTTTGATCATTTTATATGAGAGGTATTATGGTAAATAATTATAAAAAAAATATTTTCGTAATTGTAATATGATGGTATAATAATCAATCTGATCATATGTTAATTTTTGATCAAATAATGGTAATGATATTTTAATAATTTTTTAAAAAATTATTTAATAAATAATTTTTAAAAAATATATATTCATAATTATAATATAAGTATATAATAATAATTTAGACACTTGTCACTTTCTTATTAAATAAAATTTAGAGCATTTGAATTATTTTTTAAAAAATTATTTTCATGTATTGTATAAATGTGCGTAATAATAATATTAATATAGTATA